CCCCCCCCCCCCCCCGATCTAAAGTCATGCTGGTGATGATTATTCCGCTGAGAATCAAAAGGTATTTCAGTCAGTATTCTGACTTTGTCAAGCAAGCCAGACTGCTGATGAGTTGGTTTAAAGGTAGGGGAGACTCCTCCAGAATTGTGAAACAGGCTTTCCATAAAGCTAAGAACACTAGCAGGTCTTCGCTTTTGGTGCCTAAAACCAAAAGGCAAAAGGAGAGAATAATTATTCCGGTGACTTACGACTTGAGATCAGTCCAAGTGAGTAATATTATTAGAAAACACTGTCACCTCTTATCTAATATTCCCCATTGCCATTCTGCCCCTCTGTTTTCCTATCACAGATCTAAGAATCTAAAGGACCTGCTTGTCAGAAACAGTTAAATTCCCCCACACACACCCTGTTAAACAGATGGGACTGGATGGTAGGGCTATACCAGTAGGGAACGCCCCCTGTGGTAGGTGCTCCATCTACGATCTATTACTATGCACTGATTGTTCTTATGATTCTGCAAAGCCAAAAAAAGTACTCTTATCAGATCCTTCTTCCATTGTAATTCAAAATCAGTCATCTATGCCATAAAATGTTGTTGTGACCTTACCTATGTGGGGTGCACATCTAGACCTGTTGAGATTAGAATTGGAGAGGATAGAAGCTGCATTTGTCTTAGGAAGAAAACATGCATCATTGGTTGGACAACTGCACAGCCTTCGGCCACAGCAAGAGACACCTGCATTTCTTGCTCCGGGTTGCAAGACTAGATCTAATGGGTGGAAATTACAAGGGAGTCGATACCGGCTAAATATCAGGAGAAACTTCCTAACTGTCAGAGTGGTTGAGCAGTGGAACAGTCTGCCTCGGGAGGTGGTGGATGCTCCTTCGCTGGACGTTTTCAAGCGGAGGCTGGACGACCATCTTTTGGGTATGTTGTAGGGCTATCTTTCGGCTATGCTCCCGCAGAGTGCAGGGGGTTGGACTAGATGACCTGCAAGGTCCCTTCCAACTCTAACATTCTATGATTCTTTGTTCCAGAAGAAGGCCAAGCAAGCAATCTGCAGCTGGCACAATGGCTGAAGGCCAGGGAAACATTCTGGATTCATGCCTTGAAGACTTTAGTCCCGCATGCTCTCGATGAGCAAATAGATTGGTTATCAGTATAATGAGGGGATGTATAATATTTGGTGCGTTGCTTTTTTGCCCATTTATTTGCATTGTTAGGTACTGTACAGTATTTGTTGTGCTGTTTTTTTGATGATTGGTACTATCCCTTTAAATTCCTACCTACCATGAAACTGCAGTATTTTTTGTATCACTCAACTTAAGTGCATCTTGTGTTACATCAGGATTACATCATCTAGCAGTACTATATATAAGCTAATGGCATCAGCCTTATAGCACTGCTCGATGCTGAAGGCACATTGGCTCTGATAAGGTACTTCACACCTAGACTTTTTGGACCAAAGTTGGAAGGTATTTTATTTTGAATTTTACTCTGTTAAGGTGTAGCTTATTTTACATTTTGGCACAAGTTAATGTTAGAAAACTCTTTTTTTCTTATTATTTCTAGGCACACAATAGCAATATCATTCAACTCATGTGCATCTTCATTTGACACAAGGCTAGATCCTAAGAGACATCACATGGAATATTTTTCTTGTGCCTTTTGATCTCTTTTTTGAAGTAAGTGCAACAAATTCAGCTTAACGAATTTGACTTCTTAAATAATCTATATCATTATTTGACATAGCATTTTAAATTGCTACTGAAATATTATTCTTTTATTCCTTAACAGCACTCCTGTTTTGGTCCTAGATCTACTTGTGTATTGGCTTTTGAGTGTAATATGAGCCTATTTGTACCTTCTATGAGGAAGGCACAATTGGGTTGAAATGCGTTAGGTCACTATTGCTTTCTCTTGGACACATGTAACTATTTACTATATACTGAGGCTTGTGTTGGGCCCTGATATGCGTTTAAATGTCTTTGTAATAAATATAAGAAGTTTTTGAGCTACTGGCATTAAAGTTGTGAGCGACCGATTTGGCTACTGCGTGAATTAGTTTGCTCTGGAGTCATATTTCGTGAGCTAAGGCAAAAATGTGTGAGCCGGAGGCTAAAAAACTGTCAACTAGCTCACACTAAGTCAGCTTAGAGGGAACACTGCCTGTGAGGTAGGTGGGACTGAAAGAGCTCTTTTAAGAACTGCTTGTGAGAGAACAGCTCTGAAAGACCTTGTAATAGACCCAAAGTGGCACCAGCAGCTGCATGTGGAGGGGTGGGGAATCAAACTGGGTTCTCCAGATCATTGTCCCCCACTCTTAACTACTATATCATACTGGCTGATGCAAATCAGCTATTGAGTAAACAAATTTAACCCAACTCTTTTCTTCATTTAGTGATGGCACAGGGATAGTTTCCATAATTAGTGTGTGATCATTTGTGGAACACATGTATCCGGGGCTCAAGGAGGTGGATCTGACATTTCTGGAATAAGAGGCATGCTGTCAGTTCCTGCCGTTCCGTGAGCCAGTCCACAGATCAAAATTAAATTAATCCTGTAAGTGCCCTCTGGCGAGGTCTGGGAATCATACTGTTGTTTGTAAATCACAGGCTTCATAGTGCAATATGTGAGTTAATTCTCTTATGGGCAATATGCCCCTAGTTGATGAACACGTACCAGAATATAGCAATTGTTTACAATCGTGTTTTGTTGCGTAATTACAGTTTATAGCTTTGTTGGTGACGCCTCATTTCCTCTTGGGAAGGTGTGTGGAGTGATATAAAAGGGGGTCACCAACCGAGAGCTCTTCACTGAACTGGTTCATAAGCCTAACAACTTTCTTTCCATCGAAACGAGGTAGGCATGTGTCCTTCAGTTTGCTGCTGTTATAGTTATATTGATATTTATCTTCGCGCAATGTAATTTTTTTCTCAGTTCTAACATTAATACTCTTATAGCTAACTATTGCTGAACTGGGTTGCTTGCACGTCATAGAATCATAGAATGTTAGAGTTGGAAGGGACCTTGCAGGTCATCTAGTCCAACCCCCTGCACTCTGCAGGAGCATAGCTGATAGTTCTACAGCATACCCGAAAGATGGTCGTCCAGCCTCCGCTTGAAAATTTCCAGCGAAGGAGCATCTGCCACCTCCCGAGGCAGTCTGTTCCACTGCTCAACCACCCCTACAGTTAGGAAGTTTCTCCTGACACTTAGCCGGTATCGACTCCCTTGTAATTTCCACCCATTAGATCTAGTCTTGCAATCCGGAGCAAGAGAGAATAGATCTGCTGCATCTTCTACATGACAGCCCTTCAAATACTTGAAGACTGCAATCATGCCCCCTCTATGCCTTCCCTTTCCTAGGCTAAACATACTGCCGTCCTTATAGGCCAAATTTGGACTTGTACTTCTGGGCTTTTTACCTCTGTGTCCGCACATGCTGTTCATCTGAAGAGGGACAGCTAGAAGACCAGGGGCGGACACAGAGGTAAAAACATAATAGTTTGGAAAGAGAGGCTACTTTAGGGTCTGAAATCCCTGGTCCACCTTCCCCTGTATATTGTCACTATGTCAGTATTGGGTATTTATCAACTATTATCACTATTGGTTGCCAGCAAAAGGAACAACAACAAAAACCTCGAGGCCAAGCAACTAGATTTTTAACGTGGAAATGAGACATTTTAGCTACAACACTTCAAGTCGGGGAATCAAAATCTCCTGGATGTTCCAGGCCCCAAGACCATCAAATTTGCGATGACCAGGGCTAGGGCGTTTTCGATGGCGGCTCTTATCTGGTGGAACGAGCTCCCAGAGGAGATCAGGGCCCTGCGGGACCTCGTACAGTTCCGCAGGGCCTGTAAGACGGAGCTCTTCCGCCAGGCTTTTGAATAGGAGCCGCCACCACCACTGTTCCATCAACGCCCTATAATTTCCGCATACTGTCATCGCTGGTGCGGGTACCATCAGAGGGAGTGGGACGTGCCTCGGGACAACAGGGGGGCACTGTTATGCAACTATATTATTGAGAACACCATCTTGACTTTAAAAAGTCAACCACATATATCTGAACATACTGCACCAATAACTCTTTTATCTCAAAACACACACAATGACTACACTAGCTAAATTGCAAATTGGTTCTGACTGAATAGAGAAATCATAGTTACTGCCATATGATTAAAAATCTGGAAGTGAGTAGAGGAGCACCGGAAAATGTTTTAAGAACTCTGGTTAATTATTTAATCTTTTTTTTGTAATTTTAGTCTGTATTTTACTGTTTTATTGTTATGCCTCTGTTAGCCGCCTTGAGCCTGCGGGGAGGGCGGGATATAAATCCAAATAAATAAATAAATAAATAAAACTAACTCAAGCATTTTAACTGACGACAACAGGGATGTTTGCACAGGAACCATTTGTAGTATTGTTACGGGGAGGGGAATTTCTTTTTCTAAAATTACCTCTTTTAAAATATAGCCATTGCTGCTTTTTAATTCTCTTTTCCCGTTTTGAAACTGGGGGGGGGGGTTCTTCGAAGAGAAATCAACAAATCTTTTTGTAACTTTGGACTTCTTTCTGCTAAACATCACTGGGCACTGCTCTAGCACGAGGATCAGAGCTTTCGGAAGACATCCTTTCCAAAAGGAATTGCTGCTGGTGGCAATGTACACACATAAAACAGTTCTGGCAAGATGTACTGACTCAGATCAAACTAATCACTGGACACGATACACTGCTTGATCCAGCAATACTTTTTCTAGACTTATGGAATCCAAAAGATAAGCCGCCCATACATCATGATCTAATCACCAGTCTTATTGTAGCCGCCAAAACAGCGATTGCATCCAAATGGAAAACAGACAAAGCCCCATCTCGCTCCTGCTGGCTAAATAAAGTATGGGATCAACTGATCTTAGAAAAAATAACATATCGTCTTCGTCAATCAGAACTTTATCCCAAACTGTCTACCTTTGCAGAAAAATGGTTACCCTTCATGGGATATCTATCTGCCTCGGATCTGCAGCCACACAACCACATATATCTGAACATACTGCACCAATAACTCTTTTATCTCAAAACCACACACAATGACTACACTAGCTAAATTGCAAATTGGTTCTGACTGAATAGAGAAATCATAGTTACTGCCATATGACTTCTGTTTCAGGTTAAGTATACCACTCACTTGTTGTTATTGTGCCTATTGTACTTCATACAGTGGTAATATGTTATCTCACTAGTTCCCTAATATTAAGATATTTATATTTGAAAACACATATGATGCTTTACTTGTAATGTTACTGAAATCTGTTTATATTTTTTAAAAATCAATAAAAAGATATTTATTTTTTTTTAAAAAAGAGAGCCATCCTGTCCCCCCTCAACCTCCTCTTCTCCAGACTGAACCTTCCCCAAGTTGCTCAGCCTTTCCTCATAGGGCTTCTTGGTCTCCTGTTAACAATGCCACGTTCACAATAGTATCTCTATAGTATATAGTATCTCTATAGTATTCCAGCAACACAGTGATTAGGGTGCCAGGTCCTACCTCACTGCCGGCAGGGGTCTCCTAGCTGCTGTACAGGATGTACTTGTGTGAGCGCAAAGCACACACGCTATGATGAAGTCACCCAGAAGTGACGCCATCATGTTGCCGATGTCAGGAGGAGTTTCACTCTAGTTATTGGGCAAAACTCTAAGGGTTTTTTTGCCCTCAAAACCAGAGAGTTTGCCCAAGAACTAGAGCAGAACTCCCCCAACTTCTGCAACATGACGATGTCACTTCCGGGTGACTTCATCAACGCAGGGATGTCGCGCAGAGACGTCCTTGTCTGCGGGCGGGACTTCCCCCACCGGCCAGCTGGCCGGTGGTGGATTGAAGCCCTGAAAACCAGGGGAACCCCCGGCTGGACCAGGGGTTTAGCAACCCTAGCAGTGATACAGTGTGCTTTTAAAAAATGCCAGAGGCCCTTCGGTTTGGTGTGGTGGTTAAGTGCACGGAGTCTAATCTGGGAGAACCGGGTTTGATTCCCCACTCCTCCACTTGCAGTTGCTGGATGGCCTTGGGCAAGCCGTAGTTCTGTCAAAGCTGACCTTGAAAGGACAGTTCTTGAAAGTGCTCTCTCAGTCCCACCTACCTCACAGGGTGTCTGTTGTGGGGAGGAGAAGGGAGAGGAGCTCTGAGACTCTGAGTGAAGGGTGGGGTATAAATCCAATCATCTCATCTTCTTCTTCTTCTTCAGTATGTGGTTGGGGTTGTGTGTAGTGGTTAAGTGTGTGGACTCTAATCTGGGAGAACCGGGTTTGATTCCCCACTCCTCCACTTGCACCTGGTTGGATGACCTTGGGCAAGCCATAGTTCTGACAAGTGCTGTCCTTGAAAAAGCAGTTTATGTCAAGATCTCTCTCAGCCCCACCTACCTCACAGGGTGTCTGTTGTGGGGAGGGGAAGGGAAAGGAGTTTGTAAGTCGCTCTGAGACACCTTTGGGTAGTGAAGGGCGGGGTATAAATCCAATCTTTCTTCTTCTTCTGGGGAAGGGAGAAATATAGGCACAGGGATCTCCCCTGCACGGAATGCTCCTTTGCTACCGCAGACACAGCTACTTTGGCTGTGGCAGTGAGATTCCGTCTCCATGTGGACGTAAGGCCAGGATGCAAATATGTCTTTCAAAATATGAACAATGAAATCCGTTCATTTTATCGAAAACTCTGGTCATTAAAAAAAGAAAAAAAAAGAATTCTGGCTCCTAAGCAAACTCAAGGTGCCTTTTGTCTCTTTCAGCCTTCTCTTCCCTGCCACAATGGGACGTTCGAATGGCCCGACTGTCATCTACATCCCCTGTGGGAACCAGGGCTCCTGCCGCCAACAGTACTGTTGCAGCTGACCTCGCTGTTGCCCCCGATCTTGCTGTTACTGCAATACAGTGCTGTTGCTGAGGTGGAGTCGCTGAACCTTGGGAACTCAGAGCAGTCCTGAAACGACACAGGCAGCCACCGAACCAGCTTCTCGTGCTCTTCCTGGGCTTTGACACTATCGTGATTTCTTCCGCTTCTACAGTTGCATTCGCAATATTTATTTGGGGGGGAAAATTGTGGGAAGAATATTATCTCTCTCCCCCCCCCCCGTACACTGGCGTCTGCTGTCCTTCTTCTGGGGATGATAAAGTGAGAAAATGAGGGGGAAGGTCTACCTAAAGGTGGCAGTCCTTAACATAGGTTGAATCTGTATTTGTCTTTCCCACTGGTGTCCCACCCTTCTGACTCAGTCTTCAAAGGAGCTGTCCACATTTGCTTTCGATTTCACACCTCAACAATGCTAGCATACTTCTGTTGAGAGAAATGTTTAGCAGGGATTCTATGATGTCTGCAAGCACTCCAGAAACCGAGAAGACTGTATGCCTGTGGTCAGATAATGATGCTTATCTATCCCATAGAGTTTCCCTGTTTGCTTTAGCAGCATCTAAGACTAGATCTAAGGAGCTGCGGTGGCTCAAGTGGTTAAGACGCTGAACTGCAGGCTGTGGAAGGTCAGTAGTTCAGCAGTTCGAGACCCAGAGTGCCACATGACGGAGTGAGCTCCCGTCTCTAGTTCCAGCTCCTGCCGACCTAGCAGTTCGAAAGCAAGAAATTGCAAGTAGATAAATAGGTACTACTTCGGTGGGAAGGTAACAGCGTTCCGTGCGCCTTGGTGTAGTCATGCTGGCCAGATGACCACGGAAATGTCTTCAGACAGCGCTGGCTCTTCGGCTTTGAAACGGAGATGAGCACCGCAACCCTAGAGTCGGATTCGACTGGCTTTCGAGCAAGGGAACCTTTACCTTTTTAAGACTAGATCTAAGGGGTAGGCTACTTGATGGTAATCAAACCTGTTTTATTCTTCTTTTATCATGGTCTAGTAGTTAATTTTAACCCAGTCACTAGGTCGCACAGTCAAGTCCGATTTTTCGCGACCCCATGGACCAGATCACGCCAGGCCTTCCTGTTTTCCGCCGTCCTCTGAAGTTTGCTCAATTTCATGTTCATTGCATCTATTTTGTAATGGCCAATGGCTAAATACAATAAATTACTTGACTTGTCTTTTGCATGTCTGCATATGTTTATCGCCCTCTTGTGGCGGCTCCAGTGTCATTGCGCCACCACACTGCTTTAAATGAATCTCCTCCAAACAACGTCCAAGCAAACATAAAGACGGCGTCACAGCAGCATGAAACTGATTTAAAAATGCAAATGCAGATTCGTGGGAATGCTTTTGAAAAACTCACTGTGACCTAGGTGGCATACCACAGGACTGGGCTAGCAGAAAGGGGGAGGGGGGGGGAACCCGTTAACTTTAAATGCATTCTCAAAGCAGCCCCCTCCTGCTGGCCAGCTTGGAGAAGGCATTTGTCTTTTAAAATCCCTTCTCCAAGCCAAGCCAGCTGGCTTGGAGGCATGGTGTGTGTGTGTGTGTGTTGGACAACACATTTAAAGTTGCTTCATTTCCACCTCTCCCTAACTCCCATTTGCTTTGTTTCCATCTCTCTCTCTCTCGTTTCCCTTTCCTTCCCCCCTCTATTTGCTTTGTTTTTTCTCTCTCCCTTCTTTCCATCTTTCTTTCTCTTCCTTCCTTCCTCTCCCTCCCTATCTATTTGCTGTTTCTCTTCCCCTTTCCTTTCTCCCTCCCCATCTATTCACTTTCTTTACACCTTTTTTCCTTCCTTCCTTCCTTCCTCATGTTTTCCTTCTGTTTCTTTCTCTCTTTCAGCTGCTTTCATTCTGTCTTTCCACCTCTCTCCCTCTTTTAGACAAATAAAGTATCACTATCAACATCTGCTTTTACCCCTTTTGTTTTTTGCAGTCTCGTTTAATGTAAATAAAAAGCAAATGTGCATATTTTTCCAATAAAAACGTGTGTGTAATATTTGTTCACGTCTTGCGGCTCTCAACACATCTGAGGTTTATTCTATGTGGCGCTTACGTCAAGCAAGTTTGGCCACCCCTGCTCTATGGCATCCTGTTCAGCTAAGGCCTCTCCCATCCTCAAACTCGGGCTTCTGTAGACTTTACCACAAAATCTCCAGGAAATTTCCAACCTGGACCTGGCAACCGTAGTCAAGACTGGCCCAATGAGTTCCTCACAAAAGCACAAAGTAGGCCTGGAAAAGGCCACCTGCCTTTGCCTTTTTACTGACAGAACCAAGCTTGGTTGCCTAGCAACAGCCACTGAGGAGAAAGTGAGCCACACATCAGTTTATTCAGACAGGGAATGGCATGGGGGGGGGGGGCCAGGCACAGACACAGCACCCAGCCAATGGCACACGAGGGGTGCCCTTGATTAGTGATGAATGGGCCAATGACTGATGGAGCACACAGCACAGCCAATGGGAGAGCTGGAAAGTGCCAATACATTAGTGCTTTTATATATATCAGATAAAAGTATTTGTGTGAATCAAAATAGGAAAAGGGGGGAGGGGAAAGAATAAATTATCCCCTAGAACTTGAGTATCCATCCATAGATCCACAAAGCAATTTTAGTAAGTTATTCAGCTTTTAAAAATGTTGGATTTAACTTTATTGATCACTCATTGATCCATATTTATTCTATGCTACCCTACATGAGCAATTGGGGGGTCATGAGTTTGGGGGATTGTTACAGCAGCTTATCTATCACAGTGAAATTGTTATTAGAGGTTGGATTGTGAGGGAGAGAAGGACAAGAAAAAATATCTGATGATAGCTCCAAGGTCAAGTTTTATTTTCTGATCAGCCTAGATTGACTAAACACCTTTCTGAGAGGAATAAAAACACTTGGTGAGGTTGACATGTCAATATGCCACTCCCTCTGAAAAAGGATAAGGCAGTCAAGCTGTTAGCAGGTGATGCTGGGAAAGCAATGGCTGAGGAGAATGTGAATTTCAAAAAGTGATAAATCTACTAGAACCCTAAAAGGAACGGAACAAGTGAGAGTAGTTACCCTCAAAAAACAAGACAGAGGGAAGCTGCCTTAGAGGAAAGAACTGGAACACACTCAGAGAGAGTGCAATTTGGCCCTGAATGAGGTGTCAGAGATGACCCTGGTGTAAGACAGACCATACTGACCCCTCAACTTGAGATACGCTAGCCAAATAGGACCATTCCAGGAAATCAACTGTCCAAAAGACCACCCTGGAAAGACGGATCTGCCTGTCTTCTGGATGATCCTAACCGATGGATGATTAGAAGAGGGAGAAAAAGAATGTGAGTATAAATTATGTCATGAAGGATGAGAGAGGTTGGTGGACATGTGGGGTGACATCCTGCCATGATTCTAGTGTTCACCTCAACAAAGCTAGCCAACATGAGAAAATTTCTGTGTTGGATTTATTGTCATCATGACTGAACACTGAAGGATCATCTCAGAGGGCATGTGGATTACCTGGATATACTGAATGACTGTTAAGTGGATTCAGGGTCATTGGCTGCTGTTCTATCTGTAGTCATCACACTGTGCTCAATAAATATTAGCCTTAGGACTTCCGGTTGATGGCGGCACGCTCACGGACTTACCTCCCGGACCTCCCGGGGGTGTCTCCGTGTTCTGGCGGACAGAGGGGGTGAGCAGGCTCGTAACCCCCCCCAGGAGCCCAGGGAAGGGCGCCTGGCCAAGGAGCTTTGAGGGGGTAGCCTCTTCTCTGGCCGAATGCCAGAGAATCGAGGCTCCCCCTTGCTCCAGTGGTCCGTCCAGCCGAGAGACCTGATGGTACAAGTGAAGCTAGCCGGATCAAGCTCAGGAGATCAGGCGTTTGAAATGATGAATGAAGAGGGGTCGGAAGACCAACTATGAACGTGAGTCAAATGAGAACTGATTTTTAAACGAAAAAAGACTCCTTACCCAAAGCGGCAAAACGGCAGAAGCGAGTGGTGGGAGGGACGCCTCCCACGCCCATAAATCGTTGAGCAAAAGGGGAGTGGAAGAATAAACAAGAAATTGCCCAGAAGTACTCATTCATCGAGCTATACAGATAAGCGTATATTCAGAGACTTTTAAAATTTATTGCGAAAGCAAAAAAACGAGAAAAAGATGGCGGGGAAGAGGGACAGAGACAAAGAGAAACTTTTAAAAGCGAAACTAGAGTCCCCGAAGGTGCCGGAAACGACCAGTGAGACGACGAAGGCGATGACAGAGGTCACGCGCCCTCTGCTGGAACAGCTCAATGTCTTTAAAGAACAGATGTCTGTGGTAACAGTGAATATTACTGTACAACAAAAGCAGCTGCAAGTTGTGACAACAAGCATTACTGCTCAACAAACGCAAATAACGGATTTGATTCAAGTAATGAAGCAGGATGCTGAGAAAGTAAAGGAAATGGCTGAGACAACACAGATAGTGAGGTTCCAAGGGGTGCCAGAGAAAAGAGGAGAGAATCTTAAAGAACTTATGAGTGAGCTACTTGCCCCAGTAGCAGATATAAAGGCGGACTTGCTACTCAACGACATGGATGTGGCCTACAGGTCATATTCAGGATACATAAAGAAAAATAATCTGCCTGGGGAAATTGTAGTAAGATTCTCGAAGAGGCACGTCAGGGATGCTATCCTGAAAGCAGTTGCTGCGACACCCCTGAAGGTGGGGGAGAATGCTGTCAGAACGCTAAAGGATATTCCATTTGAAGTAAGGCAACGCAGAAAGAAATACAAAGAACTTGTGTTTTTCCTCCAAACAAACTCAATTGGATATAAATGGCTGTTTCCAGGAGTAATATTCAAGATCAAGGAGAAGAAGGTCAAGATTGACTCTGTTCTTAAAGCTCAAGAGTTTCTAAAGGAGCAACTGGGAAGGCCAGAGGACGAGAAAAAAGAAGAGGACGATAAGTCCAGTGGAGAGCTGGAAACTGGTTCATCTGGTGAGGACTCTTTGTCTGAGCAGGGGGCATCAGCCCCGAAAAGTTCCTACAAACTGCAGAAGAGAGAGAAGTAGTAGTAAAGGCTGAAGGACTCTGAATTGTGCCTTTGAGAACTTGGGTTCTAGGGGATGATGGGAGGCACTGTTATTCGGCAATTAAATGTAACTGGGGATGGTTAAAAGGGTTAAAAGATTGACACAGTTCATAAGAAGTACAAAGATGAAAAGTCTGAATTAAGTATAAAAAACTAGTTGGAG